ATATATATATATATATATATATATATATATATATATATATACCCATTTAGCATTTAGTTATAGTATGCCCTATCCAGAACTGCACAAGTGGAAAAGTTTTAATTTAATCTGGTTAAATTTAATAAAAATTCTTCTTTATGGAAGCTTTGGCTATGCGATTATTAATCGATTGATCTAAACATTATCGGACAGATTAGTCACTTTGCAAAATAATGGTCAGTTAAAGCCCTAATGTAGTATAAATATGTTAAGCTTAAATAATCCAAACAATAAAGGATTGAAGATAAGCATGTGCATATTTACTCTGCAAGCAAACCCCACATTGTCAGTGAACTGACCATCTGTGTAATCTGCATTAACACACCTTTTCCAAAAGGCCCAGAAGCTACAGCTTCACTAACCAGGAGGCATCACAACATGAAGAACAAGTGGCTGTCTAGACAAGTTTGGTATAAATTAGCTGAGAATGAAGTAGTACATCAACCGGTTACACTAAATACATTAGAACTATTTGGAAGCAGACAACTTTGTCCAGGGTTGATTAGTTTATGCTGAGCCTCCCAAACATATTTCACATGAGGCTTTCTGTATTTTGTCTTAAAACCTATAATACTAAATTATTTTGACATGATAAGGAAGACTTGTTGTGCCTTCGTATTGCAGGTGTAAGTGTGATTAGTCTCAGGATACTCTTCTGTTTAGCTCCATCCTTTTGGCTCTGCCCTCCTTCACTTTCCCTGCTGAAGTTTACAAAAGGGAATTCGTTTCAGTTTATTTCAATGTGTTAATGTGTCATTAATCCCAGATACCAATCATAACCTTCACTCTCAGCCACTCTTAACAAACTGATGGCTCCAGCTTCAGCAGGACTGTAATCCCAAACTAAGCTGTAAATGTACAACAGGATGGCAGAATAAACATGATTCAGCCAAACCTCAGTCATATTTGAGTCTGGTTGAAATGAGGTTGTTCGACATCAAGGGTTGGAATAAATAAACGCCAACCAACTATCCTAAACAACAGAGTTGGTTATAGAGTGGGCACAGGTGTATCCACTGCAAGGTATTGGAGGACTCGTTACATGAATAGACTTTGTAGGTTCCTGCTGCTGAAGCTGACCCGACCAGCTGCTGCGTCTCACAGTGGATGTAGTTCTTCACACACAGCACAGCTTTTCCCGTTAGCTTCAGGTTTTGGCTTTCAGAGAGTGGAATATATCTTCCAAGGTGGAATTTCAGTCTTTTAAAAATCCTTTAAACATTTTCGTCAGATGTGTGAACTTTAAGACTTAAACAGGTTTTAGTGTTAATTTTATCAGCCACTGCATGAAGAACCTTTTGTTGGTTTGTAAAGTTTAATTAATATTAATTTAGTTATTATTAATTATGTATATGGTTAATTGCTTTTTTATGATTTTGTTTTCTCAACTAACTTTTATGTAAAGCAAGTAATAGTAATATGTCATCACATACAGAGTTAAAGCCATCATCTAACCTTTCATGTCTTTTTATATACCCAGGGGATGATGAACAGTCTAAGCAGCTGATGTCCAGCTGGGAAGATGTTAGTGTCTCACAGGCCGCCCAGAACTGCTGTGTGGCCATCAAAGTTGATGCCAAGAGGTAATGATTGCTTATACAACACTCAGTAATGCGGAGAGCCTGTATGAGCTGCATACCTGCGTAATTAACCCAGGTGCATCTCTAAGATGGTCTGTTAACTTCAGGTTGTATATTTTGAACATTGATTAGATCAAGTGGTAATACATCAGCTTAACCTGTTGAGGGGCTTTAGAAAAAGGTCATGTCTGTTTTTGAACATTTAAAAAAATGTAATTATTCTGTTAAACCTCACTGGGTCGTACGGTGGATTAGATATACCAGACTGGAGCAATATGGACACAAAAAATATCTTGATATTTGTTAAGCTGAATAGTGAGTCAATATTTATTATCTCTTTGTTTTTTCTTTCTTAAAGTGATTAATAAAAAGTCTCCTTTTCAGTCAAAGCTTTGCCTCAAAGGTCCAACACACATTTTTTAGCAAAGAGCCGCAAATTGCTGAACCTACTGCAATACCTACTAGTACAATTATAATACGACATAACTCATGTCAATATAAACACCATAGTCTCTTAAACAGAATGCCTTTTAAAAGAAACCCTTATAGATTTCCAGCCCTACAATACAGGTCACATAGATATCAGATCAATGCCTCATTATGTACGGTATTGGATCCATCGTGTTTTAGATCACAAATCAGACTTTCTTTTCTAATCTAAGAGCTTCCAATAAACAGTTTAAAAACCATCCAGTGAAAATATACTGATGCCCAAACCAGTAGTGGAGACTCAGAGGTATAGAAATCCATCTTCAAACTGCTGTGTATTTCATTTGATCTCTGCTCAGACAAATATGATCACATATTTCAAATGCTTTAATGTAAAAATTCACACTTTATTCATAATTGAAAAATGTTCTCTTCCCAGTGATACCTGTGTCCAGTTTTCCCAGATCTGTATCCTTTTCTGATGTGCTCTTAATGTATTTATATGGAAATGTGTGAGTGCAGTTTGTGTTCCTTGATTAGGTTGCTAAAGATCCCGTAGTATGCGTACCCTCTAGCTTCTTTATAGGAGTGAGTGGGATTCCTCTTGAGGTCATCGCTGGAAGCGTGTCTCCTGATGAACTGATGAAGAGAATCAACAAAGCTCAGAAGGTAAATTCAGCCTGTAAATAGGGACAGTTTTAAAAAGAGGCTGTTATTGCTTCAGCTCATTACCGTAGTTAGATCTCTTATTTTAATAAATTCTTGCATCGATCTATTGATCGTCTACTGCTTGTCCTTCAGGGACATTCAGATTGTGACAGGTTTAAAGCTTTCCATCTAAAAATACCCAGATGATTAGGTTGAGTCATTGACTTTGCAGGACTATCTCCAGCAGTCTTTGGGCAAAAAGCGAGTGGACAAGGGTTTACCATACAGGTATATCCCAGGGCACAAGCAGAGACACAACCAGTAACACACACACCCACACCTAATTCAGTCATGTTTTTGGATTGTGGAAGGGCGCTGGAGTACCCACAGAGAAGCCAGGCATGCATTTGCATGCAAACACAATGCAGATACATTCTGGACCAAACCTAGAACTTTCTTTCTACAAGGCAACCATGCTGCAGCCTCATTATGTAAATAACGAGGGGTTGGTCAGACTTAGCAGCCTCATCAGCCAGGACAGCGAAGAGGAAGACTAACCCTCTTTTTTCCTTATTAAAATGAGTCACATATACACAAAGCTTCCACTGATTCCCGCTCTGGATTACAGAGCTGGATTTAAATATACATAGAAATAGTTTCTAATCTGATGTTTTTGTTTTTCTTTTCTCTGAAACTCAATAAAATGGATCCTTCCCTGCTTTTTATTCATACACAGCCTCAGTCACTTGCTGTTTTCAAGTTTAAAACTTTATAGATTTCAGTTTTATTTCAATCTCTTTCTGGCATACCATTGCTAATATTCCTATCTTCTACGGGCTGGATTAGTGTTTTATAAATCTTGCAAATTTGCTGATAACATCATCTGGCGACTTTGTGCAAATTTAAGTAGAGTTTGTATGGAAACAGATGTTCAACTGTCTGACAAATGAGTTCTCATCCAGCTAGAAACAGCTGTGCCTGAATTCATACATATGTCATTTTGGTTCTCTGATTGTCAAACATCTCCAAAGGTTCTCTTTCAATTCAGTTTATTTACAGTCATATTAAAAAGTTTGGGCACCCCAATTAATCTTAATTATTTTTATTTCTAAATATTTGGGTGTTTGCAACAGCTATTTCAGTTTGATATATCTAATAACAGATGGGCATAACTGGGGATTGGGATGGCCATTCCAGAACATTGTAACTGTTCCTCTGCATAAATGCCTAGTAGATTTGGAGCGGTGTTTTGGATCACTGTCTTGCTGAAATATCCATTCCCGGCGTAACTTTGTAACTGATTCTTGAACATTATTCTTAAGAATCTGCTGATATTGAATGGATTCCACGTGACCCTCAACTTTAACAAGATTCCCAGTGCCAGCATTGGCAACGCAGCCCCAAAGCATGATGTAACCTTCACCAAATTTTGCAGTGGGTAGCAAGTGTTTTTCTTGGAATGCTGTGTTTTTTTGGCACCATGCATAAAGCCTTTATTAATAATCAAACAACTCAATCTTTGTTTCATCAGTCCACAGGACCTTATTCCAAAATCAAGCTTGCTTGTCCAAATGTGCTTTTACATAACTCAAACAATTCTTTTTGTGGCGTGCTTCCAGAAAAGGCTTTTGTCGCATCACTGTCGCATACAGCTTCTCCTGGTGCAAATTTAGCTGAATTGTTGAACGATGCACAGTGACACCATCTGCAGCAAGATGATGCTGCAGGTCTTTGGAGGTGGTCTGTGGGTTGTCCTTGACCATTCTCACCATTCTTCTTCTCTGCCTCTGATATTTTTCTTGGCCTACCACTTCTGGGCTTAAAAGAACTGTCCTTGCGATCTTCCATTTCCTTACTATGTTCCTCACAGTGGAAACTGACAGTTTAAATCTTTATGACAACAGTTTGTGTCCTTCCCCTGAAAGACTGTCTACGTTCACACTGCAGCCTGAAGTGACCCAAATCCGATTTTTTTATTTTTTTGCCCATATGCGACCTGGATCCGATCTTTTCATGGCAGTCTCAACAACACAGATCCGATTTTTTTCTGACCCAGGTCACTTGGCTATGGACCTGAATCCGATACGAATCTGATCTTTTCAAATGCGACCTGTGTGTGAACGGCTTGGTTGGAGTCAGCCAATCTGAACGTCATTAGTACCCGACAAAGGTCACTAATCTGCGTTGCTACGCAGAAGCGGCAAGAAAAACAACAACCATGGCAGATGATGATGTGGAGAGCAGTATTTATTTTTAACCATATTGAAAATATTGTGTTTTTATGGTTGGAAAAGACCGCTAGATGCGCGCCGGCACTACCATCCATGTTTACTTCTGGAAAAAGAGCACGCTGGCCTGTGACATCATTGTGTCCTCTACTACGCATGCTGGACACTTGCGATGTATGACTGCAGTTCACACAAGAGATCACATGCAAGTTGCATATATTTGGAAATATTAATGGCAACGTAAAAAATTCGAATTTCGCAAAAAAAAACGGAATTGAGCATCAATGGCTGCAGTGTGAACGTCGCCTAAGTTGAATAATCTTTGTTTTCAGATCATTTGAGAGTTTCTTTGAGCTGCCCATGATGAATCTTCAGAGTAGATTCAAACAGGAGAAGAACTTGCAACTGGCCAACTTAAATACATTTTCTCATGATTAGATACACCTGGCTTAAATAAGTTCAAATCTTAATGAAGTTACGGTACCAAAACCAATTTTTATGTTTCAGTAAGTCAGTGAAAAGTAGTTAAGGGTATTAAAATCAATAAAATGATTAGGTTACCCACATTTTTGCACGTGTCAAGTTTTGCTTTCAGTTATTAGATATATCAAACTGAAATAGCTGTTGCAAACACCCAAATATTTAGAAATAAAAATTATTTAGATTAATAGGGGTCCTCAAACTTTTTAATATGACTGTATATAGCGCCAATTCACAACATGTCCTCTGAAGGCACTTTACAGTTCACCAGATCATCCAGTCAAATTGATTCAAAGTTTTCTATCTAAGGAAAACCAGTTGATTGCATCGACTCATTGACTCGAATGCAATCCCTCACACTAAGCATGCAGGGACAGTGGGGAGGAAAAACTCCCTTTTAAGAGGAAAAAACCTTGAACAGAACCAGGCTCAGTGTGAGCGACCATCTGCTGAGGCTGACTGGTTCAAGGAGACAGAAGCAGAGATACTGAAAGAAGCAGAGATATAAAAGGCAACTGTTAACCAGCTTCACAGGCGGCCCTGTCCAAGAAACACAAAGCCAGGCAGACCAGCTCCGAGCCAGCTCTCATGTCGGGGGATAAAGAAAGCACATCCAGTCAGTCATAGTCAGAGAAACAGGACTGCACTGAAAAACAGGCCGATCTCAAACCTCTATAAACAAAGATGTTGATGGCAGCAGCACAGCTGATATTTCTCTCAAAGCTGGAGTCGGAGCCCAACAGGAACAGACCAGATGAAGCTACTGTGAGAAAAATGGTTTAGCCCTGCGCCGTCTGTCAAATCTGAATCTATAATGTTTTCTTCTTTCTGAAATCATTTTCTTTTAGCTGCACCATCAAGAAATTGGAGGTACTGCTGCTGCAGAAGCACCTGATTCTTTTGTCAACACACAGCCATCTGACAACGCCACCAGAGAGCCTACCTCACCTGCAGAAGGACCCATTGGGTTAAAAACCGTGCATGACAAACCAGGTGATGCACCAGCAACAAAAGGTGTGCATGATTGCTCATTTATACTGGTTTTCTAGTGTATGATAATATGATAGTTATACTAATAAATAATCAAGCTTTATTGTATAGAAAGCATTTTCTTCCTTTATTTCTAGAAGATTCAGTTCTAACCCGAGAAAGAGCATCCAGCATTCATAAAGAAATTCAGCTTCTTATTTAACATATATCACCACAGACAAAACTAAAAGCTTAGAGCAGATTTCACAAAATAATTAGCTTACAGATTATCAATAATATAATTAATAAGATTTTCTCCTACAAAGCTGCATTCATTTAAAGAAAGACACACGCTGACATGAGCCAACAAGATTAATCTCTTAAGGCTACTTTTGTTTCAGACATGTTGCATATATTGTTTAAAAAAAAAAAAGAAAATGGTTTTGATAGAAATCATTGGTGCAAAATATCAGATTTTCCGTAATGATCACCTCTAACTCCTATGATTGTTCTTTTTGCTTTTTAAGCAGGAGGAAAAAGCACTAGAGTGTGACTCGTGTGCCTTTTCCTCACCTTTTGAAATTTAAACAAGTCTATTTGCATAACACCTATTCACAGCAAATATCACTTCAAGGCACTTCTAAAAAAAATAAGTTAATCCAACGAGAAAATTAAAAAATAACTCAATAAAACATGAGGATATTACCATGTGAAATCAGGAGCATAAATTAGGACTGGTTGTGATCTGCCAGAGGTTCTGAGTTATGGGTTAGCTATTTCTTATTTTTAGTCTGTCAGTATGTCAAACAATAAATTACTCTACTTTTATTTTTCTGTATTGTTTTCATCATAGGGTCACTTTCAAGTTCAGCAGATGAAGAAGGTGTTTCAGGTGCAAAGCCTTCCACAGAGAGCTCACCTTTCTGCCAGACTACTGTTTCTGAAAATGAAAACCTGAATTCAAAGGTAGAAAGGTGAGAGCAATGGGTTTGGATTACTCCTGCAAATAACTGTGTATTTAAAATATTCTGTTTGTAAGAAAAAAATCAAACTAAACTGAGCACTGCTTCTCTGTAGTCGACTTATTTTAGCCTTATGAAGTATTCTCTGGTGTATGAGGGCCAGTGAATACTTTATCCTAAAGGTTCAAAGACTTCAAAAGTCAAGCAGGTCCTCTGTTTCATCGAAATTCTGCATAAGATTAATGAACCGTTTCCCAATAATTTCAAAAGCATGTTTGGATTTTCTTATGTATTTTCTATTTTCTCATGAAAGGTTAGACATTATCTGTTTTGACCACATGGTGGCACTAGTTCCATTTACAACTTTACAGGCTAAAGCTGTACATTTTGTAATGACTAGCAAACCAATATCAGTACAGCTTTTATTTTAAACCCTAACCTGCCTTAACAGCTTAAAATTTTGATGCTGATCCTACAGCATTAATAAAAATATGCATATTGGTCTGGAGGGGTTGAACCTCAGCGCTCTATGGATGATGTGTATAAATCAGCAACACTGCTACACTTTGTAGGAGAAGTAGCTTTTAGCTTCTTTAAGGAGAGAAACCAAGAAGGTTAAATATCCCTCTATCTCCCCTCTTTAAAGAAAATATACACAATATAGTTTCATAAAACATATTGTGTTTTAGCAATAAAACCTTTTCCGTAATTTGGTATAAATCGAACAAGAAAGTTGTAATAAAATTCTACTTTTTTAAATGATGTGTTTGTTATTTCTAGTTATATATATAATCTGAAATTAAGATAATTTCTATTGAACAAACTTGGAAAATCTCAGAAACTGATAAGTTTATTTTCTTAAATCTTAGTGAATCTTCAATCTTGTGGAATGGTAAGATCCTAAAAATGCAAATAACTATCTATGATGAGAGCTTTGCTGTGGACTAGCAATTTGGATGTAATTGAAAATAAATACAGGAATAACTAAATGCTCGATAAATACATTAAATTGGCAAAAAATAAATACATTGAAGCATCAGCATTAAAGCAGCAACAATGAGAGATGAATGTAAAAATGTTTTATTTTTTTTTTTACTGTTATTTTTTGCTGTTTTCTTGTTAGTTTCTTCTACCCTATTTATTAATGCCTGTCCCTGTTTCCTTTTCTTTATGCATTTCTACCTCATCATGCAGATGACAAGGGGGTAGATTTAAGGGTACATCTAATGTCTACATGCATGAATCCACATGCGACCAGGCTAGCCTCAGTCACAGCAAAGATAGCTACCTACGATGGGGTTATCATTTAGTTGAGCAGAGGCATTAAACTGCAATCCATTTAAATTCTGTAATGATTGACATCGTGCAAGTTTTGGCAACAGGTGTTGGTCACACTTGCTGCTTGGTGGAGGTCTGTGCTCTCACGTTGCTCTAGTTTTATTTATTTATAATTTTTATATACACACTGGAAAACCACATGTACTGCTTAGGTGTTAAGATGAGTACAAAGGTGTTGATGGCAGCAGCACAGCTGCCATCAACTCTCCAGAATGGGGTCACAGCCAAACAGGAACAGACGAGGCAAAGCTACTATGACCAAAAGCAGAGAGAGCAGAACATTAGAGATTGAACTAACAGATTCTGCAGAGTGGGAGAATAGAGATAGAATGATGAAATAGGGGTCCTTATGTCCTCCAGCAGTCTAAGCCTATAGCAGCATAACTATAGAGATATCTCAGGATAACCTGAGCCACTCTAACTATAAGCTTTATCTAAAAAAGGAAAGTTTTAAGCCTAGCCTTAAAAGTAGACAGGGTGTCTGCCTCATGGAATTAAACTGGTAGTTGGTTCCACAGGAACAAATGATTAAACCATGGTTTTATCCTCTGTAAAAGGTTTTAGTGTGTCTCTATAGATTGCATGAAGGTAGAGTCTAGAGTTGCAATTTGTATTGTAATTGCAGAGTGTTCTGGCACAGCACAAAAGGATGTGGCCATTGAGCTTGAATTTCCTCTTCAAATTCGACAAACGGTCTTTATGCACACAGAAACTACTAGAGCAGTGCTGTATGCAGAAACGTCTTCAAAGATTTCCTGTTCTACAGATGAGGTTAATTTTAGATGTAGACTTCCCCTGCAGCAGCGTCTTTCTGATAAGTGTTGAAAAAAGCTAAACGAGTCAAAGGTGGGGCTTACCACAGTGCTGGGGGGTTAGAGCCTGTCTATGGATTGGGAGGGTAAGGGGACTGGTTCTGCAGCTTTCCTCTGCTTCAGCCACCTCAGTTCTTTCCTCTCCTCGTTTTTACCTCATGTGGTTAAAATAGTTAAAACTCATCAGCTGTCCCCCTGACACGCTGTCCGAAGCTAGAAATCATCTTTAGTTCTCTCACAAAGGTCATGCACACTGTTCTGCTCCTTAGGCTTCCCACACCTCTGGATTGTGTTAAACTCTCTTCTTCTCCTTTCTGTCTCCAGAGTTCAAAGGTCTCTTTTTCTTATTCAGGTTGGCTTTATGTTGGTTGTAGTGCAAACAGTCTCTATCTGCGCTTGCTCTCTCTTCACCTTAGTGGAGTTGAAGATTGTGGTCAGATTCTACAATGGTGTTATTGTCATGATGGTGTGCTGTAATAAAAAGAAGGGTTTTTATATATAGTTCGACATAACAGGCTTTAAATTCTCTATTTTATCCAAATTCTATAAAATGCATCTTTTTGTATCCAGAGACAAAATACAATATCTTCCATTATAGTAATCTCACGCACGATAGCGAGCTCTTTGTTCCCAATGTAGCAGTCGGTGAAATTGGACCCTTGTGAGGGTGTCTGGAGATTCTCTAAGGGAGATCCTTCATCATGACTTGATGTGAGGAGTTCTTATTGGGTACATGGTGAAAGTAGGGCAGAAATGTTTTTCTACTCTTTGTGTGCCTCTCTGCTTTCCTCCAGCCCAGCTGCTGAATCTGTTTCACTATTGTTTCCAGGGGGGTTCACCAATCTCACCTTGTACCCTCGGCTTCCAGGTATTCTGTTGTTTCCTTAATGGATTCGTGTTTTTGAATCACACTTTCGGCTTGACCAAAAAGAGCTTCTGGAATGGGACTTTGTTCCACTTCAGAAATCTACTGACCTCTCAGGTTGCGTATTCTCTACTCCTCTGATGGAGGCAGCCATGTAGTTTTCATTCCATCTGAATCCATTGCTCTTCCATGCCTTCTGAAGGATTACTTATTTCATCTTAAAACTCAGAAACTTCACCTGATGGAATGATTTGGCATCTCTTCAGGTTGTTGAGGTCCCAGTGAGCTCTTTCAGTACGGATGTCAGTGAGGATGCTGATGAGCTTTAATTCTGTGTAGAGTTTGCGCTATATGAACACTGCTCCTGTTGCAAATTCACTCTCGGTCTCCTCTGGGGCTCAGTAAGTCCTTACGTTTTCCCGCCTTCATCGTCTCTCTGGCTCTAGTAGCTTACTTTCTAGCTGTATGTTCAACTGATTGATGAAGTTTCAATAAACATTTCACCAGATCATACAGTCAAATTTTAACATGTCCATCAGAAACACTGTTGTGTTCTGTCCTATAGCTTACCAAGACCAGCTTTGCTCACTATATGATTTACCTTGACGATTTCTTTTATCTTTTCTAGTTTTTCTTTGTTTTCCTTGTAAAATCAGCTTTTGCGGGAGTTGAAAAGGTATTCAAATCATCTAACCCCCCTTTTCCAGAAATTTAAAAATGCATAAATTGCTCACTGTTGTTCTATGATTTACAGGAAATTAATTGTTTTTCCATCAGGAGCTCCCTAACTATGCAGCCATAAACCTGATGCTCAAACAGGAAGTCCTTCAACCATTCCTCATTTCTATCCACCAGCGACTATAACTCAGCTTAAACTAAGCTTCTATGCTTTTAGAAATCATTGTAATGGTAAATTTTGTTTTCTCTCTTTTTTAATACAGATTGACCAAGAAACTGGAAGATAGACAAGAGCAAAAGAAGAGAGAACAAAAAGAAGTAAGGAGACAGAGCTGACTCATCATTTTTTTTCCTAAAACCTAATGCAGACTTGTGTGTTTATTTTATAATGAGTAGCTGTTGCTGCTACTGCATGTGATGTCATTGATTCAGATGTTGCTAAGCTACAGAAACAGCAGCTAAAAGCATTTGTTGCAATAACCATATATTTTAATCACACCTCACAGCTACACTGCTAACATTCTAACAGTTTGTCAGCTGCTGTACCTAAGAAAACGAAACATTTGACTTGTTTTATGCAAATGTCGAGGACTCCTACATCTGTAAAGAAAGCTTCTTGGGAAATTGGATCTTAATTTTGTTTTTCTCTGCTCAAGCCCCTTTACAAGAGGTAAACTGCATTAAAAAGATAAGGTCACAGAAAGCTGAGGAAGTCCTGCAAGATTGTTATAAGGTTACAGTCTACAATGCACTGAGTCTGCCACAGGGAGAGGACATTATTGAAAGTGTGCGGCTGACTTTATGTACTTCTGTGTACATAACAGCATCCCCACCAAAACAGTGAAATGTGTCCCCAATAATAAACCTGGATCCCCACTAATCTGAAAGAACTGCTAAAGAAGGAAAAAAGAGCGTACAGGAATATTTAAGTATTCAAAAATCAACTTATGGTCAAGATAACAGAAATATGGGAGGCATACAGAAGGATTCTGGAGAGCAACCTCCAGCGGTATAAAATCAGAGGCATGTGGTACAGGATGACAAAGATCAAAGGCTTTAGTCAGGGGGAGCAGACAGATGAAAGTCTGGTCAGAATAAATGAGCTGAATGCAGTCTTCAACAGGTTTAGTTCAGTTGCTGTTGTTTATACCTTACCATTTTTCTTATAACCTGGGAGTAATTCTGAGTCATCATGTGTGATTTTCAGAATGAAATCAAAAAGGAGGTTGAGCGCAGGAAGATGGGGAAGCAGAACCAAGAATTTAAAAGGAAACAGGATGTGGAGAAAACCAAGCAACTCTTGGAAGAAAGGAACAGAGAAAAGGCAGAAGAGAAGGCTGCCAGGGAACGTGTTAAGCAGCAAATCGCCATGGTAATCTCATGTCTTTGTTGTCTTTAATTTTAAGATTGTTTGTTTCTGCTACTAATCTAATGAGAATATTGCTCATGCAGGACAGAGCTGAAAGAGCTGCCAGTTATGCCAAGATGCAGCAGGATGAGAAGGTTGCCAAGCAGAACCTTTTACAGGCCAAACAGGCAGACCAGGAGGCGAGGAGGGAGGCCGTGATCAGAGAGAGGAGGTGTGTGGACCTTACAAGATGGTTCTACTCACTGCTTTAAGTGAAAGGCATCAACATGAGCAGTGTTCAGCATCGCTAAGCTGCCTGGCATCAAGCCTGTCTAACAACATTCAAAAAGATTGAACCTTCAGATACTATATTATAGCCTACTTGTTTTTTTTCACCAGTACAATGAAGTGAACCCTAAC